TAAATTTTGTTTTACTTTGTTTTTTGGTATTCTTTTAAAGAACGTTGGGCTTTGTTCTGACAGGTATTTATATTATTTGTATCTTTTTTTTTTTCTTGGAGGCTTTTTTTAATCTTTGATACGACAGTTTTAGAGTCTCCTTTCTTTAGGGCTGATAGGCATACATATTTGCAGCTCTGTGTATACTTCAGGAATTGTTCATCCTGCTGCTTTCCCTGTCCTTGGGTAATTTTTTTTTTATCCCGTGTGTATGGATAAATAGTCAAAGACATGAGTGAATCCCTCTGAAATTTGGCCCAGCAGTCTCTCTTTCTAAACAGTTTCCCCTGCCCTCCTTCTCTGCTTCCAAATCCAGCCACCTTGGATTGTTCAAATTCTGATCTCTGTCTCATCAGCTCAGCAGGATCTTCATTCTTTGTTTGGGTTCTTCCTTCCTGCTGTGCCTTAAACTGTCTCCACACAGTAAGCTAGGGCATCAAGGGGTTTATGTCGTTTGTTTCTTTTTCTCTCAGTTCTGACTGCCTGTTGTCCAACTGTTCTTTTACATGTGTCTTCTTGCTTTCCAGTTGTTTAAGGAAAGTGAAAATAATTCTGTTCCTGTTAATTCTATTTTGGCCAGAAGTAGAATTCCAATAGTGTTTTAAATACTCATTTATTTAATACAGTTTTTAAAAATAAAGATGCCAAATGGTACTTTCTTTATTGTGGTGAAATAGACATAATATAAAACTTACCATTTTAACTGTTGTTAAATATGTGGTTCAGTAGCATAAAGTACATTTACATTGTTATGCAGTCATCACCACCGTCCATCTCCTGAACTCTGCACCTTGCAAAACTGAAACCCTATACCCATTAAACAATAACTCCCTATTCCCCTCTCTGCCCAGCCCTTAGCAACCACCATTCTACTTTCTGTCTCTATAAGTTTGATGACTCTAGGAATCTCAGAAATGTGCAGTCATGTAATATTTGTCCTTCTCTGTCAACTTATTTCACTTTGCATAATATCTTCAAGGTACATCAGTTTTAGGTAAGAATGTCTTTCTTTATTAAGGAAATATTTACTACAAAGAATTGACTCTCACAATTATGGAGGCTGAGAAGACCCAAGTTCTGTAATCAGCAAGCTGGAGACCCAGGAGAGCTGACAGTAAAGTTCAAGTCAGGAGAGCTGATGGTGTGAGTTCCAGTCTAAATCTGAAGGCAGAAGACTGATTTCCCAGCTTGAAGATAGGCAGAGAGAGTGAATTCTCCTTTACTCAGCGTTGTTGCTCTATATACACTTTCATCTGGTTGGATGAGGCCCATTCAAATTGGGGAGGGAATCTGCTTTACTAAGTCTACCCATTCAAATGTTAATCCTATCCACAAACATCCTCACAGTCACACCCAGAATAATATTTAATGAAATATCTGGTTATCTTATTTCCCAGTCTCACATAAAATTAGCCGTCATACCATTCACCCATCTATGTACACTTGGAGTGCTTCTACCTTTTGACTATTGTGAATAATGCTCCTATGAACATTAACGTACAAGTATATCTGTTTGAGTTCTTGCTTCCTTTTGGGTATGAAATGGTATTTTTATACAGTTGTTTTATATGCTTAGTTGAGGTTTAGAATTCTAGTTGCTGGATCACTTTAACCACTAGAGCCATGCTTTAAAAAGAGTCATGTCATATCTGATGCATACTTAGGTTATATGGATTCAAATCTATTGTATTTTATAGGTTATTGAAGGGATTTTCAACGGAAATATTTCATTATACTCGATTTTTGCATAATCTGCCTTTGGAACCCAGTCTCAGGGTAAAATGCAGCTTTACAGTATTGCTTTTCTTTTACAAAGCAGAAAAATAATTTCTGAAACTTCCTTTCTATATGTCTTCTCAATGCTAATGAAATAAAAAATCTATATCCAATTCTCTAGTTGACAGGAAAAATTTGAGGAACATCTTTTTATTTAATTGTTCATTTTATCATTCAAAGGAACATTTTGAGCAAAGCCAAAGCACATTTTTGTATTCATAACTGTTTATATAATCAGAGAAAAGGGGGGCTAGAATATTATAAGGTTGATATAGCATATAGAATCAGTGTGGTGATTTTCAAAGAGTGCTGGGTTTGGCTTTGAGAGATATGTTTATTTTATTAATCCCATCTACTACTAAGCTGTAATTTTGGACAAGCCATTTTACCTGAGTTCATTTTCTTGTCTGAAAGACAGCGAAGATGATAATACTTGTTACTGTTTCATAGGATTGTGATGATCAAATGAAGTAATGTATATGAAAGTGCTTTGAAATCTTTAAAGTGATATATAGATGTAAGGCTGCATTTATGGTCTAAGCTAATAGATATAGAAAAGAGCTATTAGAAGCAAAATCTGCTTATGTATGAACAGTTTCTATTCTGATTAAAAGGTTTGCAAGTTTTGAATTGTAGATGACTGCGAAGTCAAGGAATCTGATTTTGCCCCAGAGCCTCAATTCATTGGAAGAAGAAAAGTGAGAACGTTCTGGTCACTGCAAGTCAATTTTTGATATTAAAACCCTTCTGTCTTTATTTTGAAAAGATTTACAAGGTGGCAAGAACTTTACTAGTGAATGAAGAATTGTCAGCATATGTCCCTTTTTAAGCCCAGTATATGCAACATTTTTGTCTTACTAGAGTTTACAAACTTTTTTATATTGAGGATAGTGTATTTTTATGTGAGTTGAATTTGATATGAGTTTGAAGAGTGCTAAACAGTGATTCTTTTAATGAAGGATTCGATGGCTTGTTTTTGTGTTCTACAGAGAGAGGCTAGTGACTGGAGGTAGAGTATTTTGATGATGTTGTATACAGAAGGATTTGTTATATTTCTGTGAGAGACAGAAATAAAGTGTTATTTCTGAGATGCTTCCTTTGTAGGAAAGGGACTGGTTTGCCTCACAACATATTCTAAGAGCATTTGTCTTCAGGAACTTGAGTTAGAATGAAGAGGCTGAAAACCTAACCTTTATTTATTGATTAGACAAAAATAATTCCACATCTGTTTGGAAATGAGTAAATTTGAAGTTTTAAAATTTTTTGTGTGATTTTATAAATGACTCTTTGATGACAGATAGTGAGAACTTTTGCCTCATCCTACAATATGAGCCTAAAAGATATTAAGTACTTGTTGACAGACTGATTCTAGGGCTGGTGCAGGAAAGATACAAGATGAGGCTGGAGCATCTTTTAGTAGTAGAAAGTAAGGAAGTGCATGAAATCAAAATGGTAAGAGCATGTCAAAGGGACACAGGAGACATCTGAAAGAGCTTACAAGAGTCATGGCTGGAACAATTTGAGGAGCAAAATGAATGATGTAGTATTGGATTATAACCTAAAGTACACAATAAGTGTCCACAAGTCCATACTGATATAAATAAGTGATTGAATAAATATGTAAATGGATGAAGAGAGATGAATCTTCCATACAGAATAATTCCAATAATATATTTAGATGTTCTTTGCTATGGGAGGTAGAGAATAATTCCTCCTCTTTTTCCCTGAGGGTGGGCCAGACATAGTCACCTTGAAAGAATACGTTATGAAGAGGGAAAAACAGTAATGTTATAGTGGAGAGGCCTGGCATATTATATAGTACCTTAACCAAGTAATGAAGGTTAACATCATTGGTGACGTCCTGTTGATATCATGTTCCCCTTGCCATGATCTATTGAGAATGGCAGTTGATCTCAGTGATATTCTTTCCAGAAATCATAACCCTAGTCTAATCATAAGCAGAAACATTAGACAAACCCAAATTGAGGGTCATTCTATAAAATACCTGACACATAGTCCTCAAAATCAAGATCATGGAAAAGAAGGGAAGATTGAGAATTGTCACAGACCACAGAGACTGGGGAGAGATAATAATTATATGTAATGTGGTGTCCTGAATGGAATCCTGGAAAAGAAAATGAACATTAATGGAACAACTTGTGAAATGTGAATAATGCCTGGGCTTTAGTTTGTAGTAATGTACCAATATTGGTTTCTTCATTTTGACAAATGTGCCATGATGTTATAAAATGTTACTAATAGGGGAAAGTGAGTAAAGGGTATAATACACTCTTCATACTGTCTTTTAACTTTTCCATCAATCTAAAATTACTCCAAAACGGCCATGCATGGTGGCTAAGCCTGTAATCCCAGCACGTTGGGAGGCTGAGGTGGGCAGATCACTTGAGTCCGGGAGTTTGAGACCAGCCTGGGCAACATGGTGAAACCCCATCTCTGTGAAAAATACAAAGTATAACCCGGCATGGGGGCACCCGCCTGTAGTCCCAGCTACTCGGAAGGCTGAGGTGGGAGGATCACTTGAGCCTGGAAGGCAGAGGTTGCAGAGTGAGCCAAGATTGTGCCACTGCACTCCAGCCTAGGTGACAGGGTGAGACCTCATCTCAAAAAGAAAAAAGAAAAAAGGAAAAGAAAAACTCCTTGACAGAGTTTTCTTGCTTGCATGGAATCAAATGATGTGAAGAACAGAAACTATGTGAAATAATTTTTGCTAGTTAGCATGTTTTATTTTAACAGTTTTCCCCCTAAAAATGGAATAATATGCTATAATAATACTATTTACATTCGTGTTTCTTCGTAAATGTTTCCGTTATATATAAGATTTGATGACTTTTTAAAAGTCACGTTAATGTCTGAAACTTTTTAAATGAGGTGAATAAGGTACAAATTAATAGCTGTCTATTTTGAAGGGAAGAAGTTAAAGTTTGATATAATGGTGTATAGAATCTGAGTTATAGTTGTTTTGAGAATTATGATTTTGAAAGTGCTTATGTTAATACTGTGCTTGATTATAATATAGTATTTTGGGAATTCAATTTAGTAGCATTATCAGTTAAAGCAACACATAAAAATTAATACAACAAAGAATACTTTAAATTAAATTAAAATATCTTTGTTACAAACTATGAAAATAAATATAAGTAAATTTCATATCATTTCTCTTCTAGATTTATTATCTAGGATAGATTTGGATGAACTAATGAAAAAAGATGAACCTCCTCTTGATTTTCCTGATACCCTGGAGGGATTTGAATATGCTTTTAATGAAAGTAAGTGGTGTGTATATATATATATATATATATATATATAGTATATGCAAAATTTATTTAGCAATGCTCATAGAATAATAAGACAGATATTATTTGCTACTTTTAAAGGCCAAGTAGAATGTTTTCTGTATTCTTTTGAGAAATAATGACATCCTGGCATGGTGAAATTCTTCATTCAAGTGAAAGAACCAAGTAACAATTTTCTGTAGTTGTCAAGTTACGTAAACTAATGGTCATGAATTTGATTCAGCTTATGCTTTTCAACCTTGAGCTTTCAACTCCCTGGTATCCAATTTGAACTCCTAATTAAATTATAGAGAAAGATGCTACTGTTTCACATGTTATTTAGAACAAAGTGTCTGGCAGTAATTATCTGTGACAATGTTTTAAAGTAGTTTTCCATGATTTTTCAGGCAACATTCTTGTTTTAAAATTTATTAATTCAGTTCTGAATAAAATAACCTTTACACTTGGGATGTGGAGGAACATAGTATAGATTGCAAAGATGTTTCTGGAACAGAGAATCATGATTCATTGGATTAATAATACACCCTTACACTTGAAGGGTAGTGTTATTACAGGGTAGGTGCATTTGAGTTGTAGTTTTCTATTGGTTGTTCTGCATTAACTGAATTGGTGCTTTGTCATCACTGTATTAGTGGATATTCCTTTCTAATATCAGTTATAGATATTAAGAGTTATGGTGACAGTCATTGTGTGCTAAGATGTTGAGTTTAAAATAAGAGACTAGAAACTTTGATCTTTTCTCTGATATTAATTTTTATGCTTTTTAATAAAAGTTATTTTATGCCAGTAGAAGTAGTAATGTTTGTTGTGTGGAGGGGAAGAGGAGCTTAAGCAATTGGCCTGTAGTGTATTTCTCTCCTGATTACCCCGGGAATACCCCTGGGGAAAAAATCCTGTTCAGGAGACAAATGGCTTCATGTTTTCTCCTTATAAACGTGCTGATAATTAACTCATTTAATAAATTAGACTGGCTGGGTACAGTGGCTTATGTCTGCAATCCCATCACTTTGGGAGGCAGAGGCGGGTGGATCACTTGCGGTCAGGAGTTCAAGACCAGCCTGGACAATATAGTGAAACCTCATCTCTACTAAAACATACAAAAATTAGCCAGGTGTGGTGGCATATGCCTGTGGTCCCAGCTACTGCTGGCTGAGGCATGAGAATGACTTGAACCTGGGAGGCGGAGGCTGCAGTGAGCTGAGATCGGGCACTGCACTCCAACCTGGGGGACAGAGTGAGACTCTACCTAAAATAAATAAATAAATAAATAAAATAAGCGTAGACTAATATTTGCTCTGAGGAGAGTCCTTTTCTATAGAATACTTTGAGCAAGATGACTGGTTTAGATATGAGGAATGTTTCTCTGAAGAATATCACTTAAGTAGGACAACTCTTTGGCACATAAAATGGAAATATTTTATAACCCAAATGCTCACCAGTGGGTGAGATTACCTGTATGCACACGTAGAGTCCTCATCTACTTTGGGCCAGAGAGTGCTATCCAATGAGAGGAAAGGACCTGGGGGAAATGACCAGATGCTGCAGACCTCTCCCTGCCTTGCCTGTGCTTCTTGATTCCTTGTACCCTTGAAATTACTAGTCATTATCGGTAAAGATCTTTGCTTTGTGGAGTGTGATTTGATAGCCTGAGCCTGTGTTAGCTCACTGCTTCTCTCCAGTTTTCATTTGACATCCTACCTATATTTGAAGACCTAGTTGAGAAATCTCACTGAAACCTTCTGAACCTCTTCTAGCCCACAGATAGTTTTCATTTTTCCAAAATCATTCTAGACTTTATTGTCTATATGAATCCCCAGTGGCAGATTTTTAGACTGTTGACGTATTCCAATCTAGTTTGTTTAGCTTCCTGAAAAGTTGCTTAACTTCTTAGTATTTATGATTTGACTTCTCAGGTAACCTCTAAGCTTCTTGAGGACTGGGCCTATGTTCATGGCAATAGCTAGAGAGGTCTTTATACATATTAGGCTTTAAAATATTGTTAGTTTGCTTTAGATTAGAGAGATGAAGGTCAAGAAGAATAACTTTTGAGTACTTGGAGACCATTCTTAGTTATATAATCTGTATGTTTGTGTCATATTGACATCTGAAGAAAAAAAATTAATGAAAAAGATAAACTGTTCTGAGAAAGTTATTTTAAATTTTTATCAGACATTCTTTGTTGTACTGCTTGTATTATTGTAAATATACTTTGAAGTATAGCAATATTGTTTGTTTATCTTCTTAGAGGGACAGTTAAGACACATAAAAACTGGGGAACCATTTGTTTTTAACTACCGGGAAGATTTGCACAGATGGAACCAGAAAAGATACGAGGCTCTAGGAGAGGTATGTCACATATACTACTTTAACTTTGTTTTTCCCAATTTTAAATATTCAGAATAAAAGTTTTAAAGATGCAGCAGTTTATGTACTCTTTTCACAAAATGTGATTCAAAAAAGGTTTTTGGGTTTTTTTTGTTTATTTTTAGTGGTTATGTTAGAAGCATATTCTCAGTTTAAAAGTTTCTGTTCGGTGGCTCACGCCTGTAATGACAGCACTTTGGGAGGCTGAGGCGGGTGGATCATGAGGTCAAGAGATCGAGACCAGCCTGGCCAACATGGTGAAACCCCATCTCCACTAAAAATACAAAAATTAGCTGGGCGTGGTTGCGCGTGCCTGTAGTCCTAGTTACTCAGGAGGCTGAGACAGGAGAATTGCTTGAACCCAGGAGGTGGAGGTTGTAGTGAGCTGAGATGGTGCCATTGCACTCCAGCCTGGGTGACAGAGCAAGACTCCGTCTCAAAAAAAAAAAGTTTCTGTTTTTAGGCGAGCTGTGGTGGCTCACACCTGTAATCCCAACACTTTGGGAAGTCAAGGCCGGAGAAGCACTTGAAGCCAGGAGTTTGAGACTAGCCTGGACAATATAGTGAGACCATGTCTCTACAAAAAATAAAAAATTAGCCAAAAGTAGCAGTATGTGCCTATAGTCCTAGTTACTTGGGAGCCTGAGGTGGGAGGATCACTTGAGCCCAGGAAGTCAAGGCTGCAAGGAGCTGTGATCACATCCCTGCACTCCAGCCTTGCTGACAGAGTTAGGCCCTATCTCAAAAAAAAGAAAAAGCTTCTGTTTTTACACAAACTTATTCTTCCCATGACTATAATATTTCGTAGTGAGTCATTACATAAGAAAACAAATTTATGCGAAATTCTAATTTGATTTTTTAAGTTTTGTTTTGTTCTTGAGGCATGGTCTTACTCTGTCACTGAGGCTGGAGTGCAGTGGCACGATCTTGGCTTGCTGCAACTTCCGCCTCCCAGGTTCAAGCAATTCTCGTGCCTCAGTCTCTGAGTAGCTGGGACTACAGGTGTGCACCACCGTGCCCACCTAATTTTTTTTTTTGTATTTTTAGTAGAGATGGGGTTTCACCATGTTGGCCAGGCTGGTCTTGAACTCCTGACCTCAAGTCATCCGCCTGCCTTGGCCTCCCAAAGTGCTAGGATTACAGGCGTGAGCCACTGCGCCGAGCCTAAAAATGTTTTTAAGAGGTTGAATCCCCTACTATGCCAGAATGAATAAGTTTTCTTTCAGGTATTTATTTGTGTGAAGAATATTGGTATTTGACTAATAAGTTGAATTTAACCTACTTATCTTTGACTGGATAAAGGAGTAGGCCTTGTGAACATTAGGTACTTCACATGGTACTGCTTGTAGGAACCTTTGAAAATGTCATTTGCCGTTTAGGTGAATAGTTTGGTAAAGTGAAAAGCTTTACTCATTCTGTGTCATATTAAGTCTTTATTTTTAGTAAAAATGCATATGGACTCATAAGTTTAGTGTGATAACTAGATAGCTACCTTACTTTTCTAAGGAAAGGCTGAAATTTCTGTATCCCTTTTTTGTTTTTAAATAGAGTAGTAAAAATGAACAATTTGGTTAAATTATGACATAAAGAATATTTGGTAACATAAGTATAATAGCATGAAGAATATATCTTTTCCTGGGAGACAATTCTTTGATCTCCTGCATTTCTGTATGTCTCTGAGCAAAGGCTTTGACAGCTTTTGCTCTGGATCATCTTTTCAAGGACAACTGTATAGGAAACAGGCTTCAAAGACAGAAGTTGTGTCTCCCTCCTAGGCAGTAGGCAGATTAGTTTGCCGTCCAGGATCAAAAGGTAATGCTCCTCCCTCCCCCACTGATGGCAAAGGATTGCTAGGAGCCCCTTTAGAAGATTGGGTTCCCTAAGTTTGAGGTTCCTCAGCTGTGATACAATCCTATTGCATGCTCAGCATCCACCTGGGCCTGTTGACACTGCCTCTTTGGGATTTGAGGAGCAAGAGATTGGACTTCATGAGAACATGAAGCTCATGCTGCCTGCTGTACCCCGATTAATTTTTGTTTCTGTTCCAGAAGACTGATGTCATCTGACAGCATCCATGACTATGCAGGCGAACTTGCTAGCTTTTATGGAGTGTAAAATCTGACAGTTAAAGAATCTTCACAGTTCTTGTTAGTGTTCTACGGCATTTATAATCTAAATATATTCAATGCCCTGAATAATTTCTGCTGCACTTTTAAAAAAGCTTACCCAGCCAGGCATGGTGGCTCACACCTATAATCCCAGCACTTCGGGAGGCCGAGGAGGGCGGATCACGAGGTCAGGAGTTCAAGACCAGCCTGACCAACATGGTGAAGCCCCGTCTCTTCTAAAATTACAAAAATTAGCCAGGCATGGTGGTGTGCCCCTGTAATCCCAGCTCCTCAGGAGGCTGAGGCATGAGAATCACTTGAACACAGGAGGCAGAGGTTGCAGTGAGCCAAGATCATGCCACTGCACTCCAACCTGGGGGACAGAGTGAGACTCTGTCTCAAAAGAAAAAAAAAAAAAACCGATTTCCACTCGATTTATATGTTGCAAACTGGTAGTATTTTGATTATAGAATAACCATACTATAATGGCCTTAGAAAAGAGCTTGTGATTTTTGTGTTTGTTTTTAAATGGGACTATTTATTTACTATTTTCCATAAGCCATGTACACCACCAGCGCACTTGGACAGGTGGCGAGTCTCCAAATATACCTTGTCCTTTTTGACATCTGCATCATTTATGCCATCAACTTGTATCCTCCAACATCATCTATATCAAACTCCAGCTATGTGTCTTATTAGGTCATTCCATGTGTAAATGATTCCTTTTGTCTAGGATCTTATACCTAATTCTTTGGATATATGGAGGGTCACAGATTTATTTTTGGTGGACTTAAGTTGACAAGAAATCAAAATATTTGAGTTTTTACTCTGATGGTTATTTACAGAGAGAGAGCATATTCTGTATTGTCTACATTACTGCCTCCTGTGCTTGCTATCACATTTGTGTTCACAATCAATTTGGACCCAAGTGATTACCCAAAATTATAACATTTAACTTTTTTTTTTGAGATGGAGTCTCACTCTGTCACCCAGGCACCAGGTGCCTTAGCTTACTCTCGGCTCACCACAACCTCCACTTCCCGGGTTCAAGTGATTCTCCTGCCTCAGCCTCCTGAGTAGCTGGGATTACAGGTGTGCACCACCACGCCTGGCTAATTTCTGTATTTTTAATAGAGATAGGGTTTCACCATGTTAACCAGACTGGTCTCAAACTCCTGACCTCAGGTGATCTGCCCACCCTGGCCTCCTAAAGAGCTGGAATTACAGGCATGAGCCACTGTGCCTGGCCATAGCATTTAACTTTTAATGCAGTGTTTCTATTTAGATCAGTGGACTTCTCAGCTTTAAGTACCGACCTTTTTCCTTCTGAATATATTGATCAAAAGTAAACATATTTTCCTAACGTAAAACTCAGTACACAAAAAGACCTAGGAATTGGAGAGTGAAGGTCTGGTTATTACAGTATTTGTACCATACCATCTTGCTTCTCATGTCATGTTTGGAATACTTGTTTTGATTCATAATTTCACTATTGGAAGTTAATTATTAATTGAATTTTATTTCCTACATTGTAGGAGTTAGTTGTATGAGTTCTGGGTATATCCCAGTAATGACACAGTTTTCAATCTAGTTAATCAGTTGTTTGGAATTCATGATAGCAGGACTTAATGCATCTGTGGCCTGTCTTTTCATTCATTTTGTAACCAAAAAGCAGGTTAGTTGCTTGCTGTGTGCAGAATACCATGAGCAGGAGTGAGGTTTGGTACAAAAAAAAAGTGAATTTATCCTGAAACTAGCTTGAGGAAAGAGGCACAAACATTCTACCTTTAAATGTACTACTTTACTCTTGGAGCAGAAAGCAGGCACTTTTATAAGTTAGAGGAGGGAACAAGCAAGGGCAGGGAATCCCCTTGCTAGCTAGTTCCTTATCTACTGGGCAGTTAAGTTGGTGCCTTCCTGGGTAGAAGTAAGTTGTAAAAGTGGCCAAGTGGGCATGCTTTCCACATGCCCTCCTGGTGGGTATGAGTTCCAGGATTATCCCCCTAGCTCCCTCTTCCCCCTCTTCCCTGTCCCAGAGTGAGAGTTCCATGGGGCATACTTTGGTCTGCAAATTTACTGTCAACTCTTGAGGAGAGATTCCTCTTGGAGCACAGTTAGATAAACTTACCCTGTAGGGAATGTCTGGTGAGGAGGAGGTAAAGGGTTATATTTGCATTTCTAAAGGACTAAATAGGAAGCTGAGGAACAGGGGAAAAGGAGAAAATAAGAGAAAATAATAAAAAAAATTAAACTCTCTCTCAGAAAAATGGTGATTCTTTGCTACAGTGTTCCATAATTTCCATTTCTGAGCCATGCCGTTAAGTGAAATTTAACCAACTACTATTCTATTCTTCATTCACAGTTTATACTTTTATCTTACACTGTTTTCTCCCTTTGAAATGTCCTTCTCCCCTTGTCACTGTATCCCACCTCCATCTGTCTTCCTGTTTTGGCTCAGATGTCTCCTCCTTTAGGAAGCCTTTCCTCATCGCTTCTGTTATCATCTCTCCTGATTTCTTTTCTTTCCATTTTGTTTTTCTACCTATTTTATCTTATATGAAAAATGATTTAAGATGATGTTAAAGATGAATGCCATTTAGGAAGACTCAAATAAGTAGAGTTTAAAAACGGAAGCAATGTTAGTAAATGGATGAGTTTACTGTATATCTCTTATGCTACTTATCACTCTGCATTGCATTTTTAAAAAATGTATGTTTTTAAGTAATTTGGGGGAAACTTTCTGTGTCCTCACAATATTTGTTGAATAATAAATAGTGTGATACAAATAGATAAACTGTTTAGTATAAATTCTGGACCTGTGCATTTTAGAGATTTTTTAATGTTCCTAATTTAAACTTAAAGATGTGTATTTTC